GCAGTTATCGAGGTCGATGTCAGGTCGTGATCTGTTTGGTGACTGACCACCTTTAAGAAGTGGTAAACCACCTTCAAGAAGTGTCAACCTTCACGAAGTGCCAAACAGTCGGCGGTCAGAGGACTCCAGTGTCAAAAACATTCTTAGGGGACCTTGCGGTCCTGTTCATAACATATTGGCGCAGCACTAGATGCTCACCAAGCAGTTCTGGATGTCGGTTATATCGACACATCATAAGATGCCTTACAAGCAAGCAGCGACTGCTTGCAGGACCTTCTACCCGGTATGGATCTTTGAGAGCAGAGTTTCGCACTCCACCGTGAGATCCACGTCGGATAGGTGGACCTGCCATCCTACCGCTGTTAGCTGTAGTCATCTTGAGGGAGTCGATGAGGTGAGGACCCGACAAAGAAAACTCTCAGTGAACTTTGCTGTCGTGTTTTTGGAACTTATTGGCATAGCACTAGATGCTCACCAAGGAGTTCTGGATGTCGGTTATATCAACAAATCATAAGATGCCTAACAAGCACACAGCGGATGCTTGCAGGACCTTCTACGCAGTGTGGATCTTTGAGAGCAGAGTTTCACACTCCACCGTGAGATCCACATCGGATAAGTGGACCTGCCATTCTACCGCTATCAGCTGTAGTCATCTTGAGGGAGTCGACGAGGTGAGGACCCGGCAAAGAACACTGTCAGGGGACTTTGGTGTCGTGTTTGGAACATATTGGTGTAGCATTAGATGCTCACTTAGCAGGTCTGGATGTCTGTCATATCGACACATCATAAGATGCCTTACAAGCGAGCACCGGCTTCTTGAAGGACCTTTTACCCGGTGTGGATCTTTGAGAGCAGAATTTCGCACTCCACCGTGAGATCCACATTGGGTAGGTGGACCTGCCATCCTACCGCTGTTGGCTGTAGTCATCTTGAGAGTCGATGCGGTGAGGACCCGACAAAGAACACTCTTAGGGGACTTTGCTGCCGTGTTTGGAACTTATTGGCATAGCACTAGATGCTCACCAAACAGTTCTGGATGTCGGTTATATCGACAAATCATAAGATGCCTTACAAGCAAGCAACGGCTGCTTGGAGGACCTTCTACCCGGTGTGGATCTTTGAGAGCAGAGTTTCCCACTCCACCGTGAGATCCACATCGGATAGGCGGAACTGCCATCCTACCGCTGTTGGTTGTAGTCATCTTGAGAGTCGATGAGGTGAGGACCCGACGATGTTCCAATTGGGATGTGCTCTTGTTTTGTAATGTGCAGGTGCTTACAGGCGGTGCGTTCGATCCCCTCCTCGACGTGAAGCAAAGTGCGAGGGAATTGCTCAGGGCTCACACCAGAAGTGCGATTGAACTCGCACTTTGATAGAGAAGCAGTTGCGCAGTCCATCAGCGCGACGATTTAATATGGACATTGGCTTGTCATTTCTATATCACGGGTTGAAAACGCCATCAAATATTTCTGTGTAGAACATTCATATCCATTCATACAAGTATCTCTTGTCATTGCAAACATTGAGATGAAAACATCTGAAGTCAAATTGCAAAGTACACAGAGACATCGCAAACATCGAGGTGAAAACATCTCAAGTTGTGCACCGTTTTTCCAAAGGTGAGGTCTCAGAGCAGACGATCAGTTTCAAGAAACCATTCTATGCAGAAAATTCATTCAAGGGCAAATTGCAAAACACAGAGACTTTCCAAATTGAACGCAAAATATCATATAATGCCATACTGCAAAGTGCACGGAGGATTTCCAAAAATCACAAAGTACATGGAGCCAAAGTGCGAATATGTTCTCATTTCCCATATGGAACCAACAGTTCAATCACAAATGCACGGCATCCAAAGTGCGAATATGTTCGCATTTCTCATATGGAAACAACAACCAGCATCCAGTGGAGAGCACGAGATGTATTCCGGGGATAACAAAATTGACAATCATTTAGTGCACCGCTGAATCCGTTAAACAACTTCAAGCGCAAGTCAAATTGCAAAGCACAAAGAGACATCGCAAACATCGAGATGAAAACATCTAAAGTTACCTAGTGTTTTTCCAAAGGTGAAGTGTCACAACACACGAACAGGTACCAGAAACCATTCAATGCAGGAAATTCATTTGAGGGAAAATTGCAAAGCACATAGAGACGTTTCAAAAAGTCATTGAACGCGAAATATCATACAATCGCACATTGCAAAGTGCACGGAGGCTTTCCAAATATCACAAAGTACATGGAGCCAAAGTGCGAATATGTTCTCATTTTTCACATGGAACCAACAGTTCAATCACAAATGTACAGCATCCGAAGTGCGAAAATGTTCGCATTTCTCATACGGAAACAGCAGTCAGCATTCCGTGGAGAGCACGAGATGTATTCCGGGGATAACAAAATTGGTGATCACTCAGTGCACCGCTGAATCCGTAAAACAACTTCAAGCACACATACATTCTGGCGACAATTGGTTTCCGAATGGAGAACAAGTTTGCAACTGTCATATGGAACCAACAGACAACATTTATTCGAGACAAACAGAGGAGGTGAACCGTAAAACGGGGCGGCACATGCAGCACAACGACGAGCCAAAACATATGAGAGCTGGGTGGTCGGAGTGGGGCGGGGGAGAGGGGCTTTCACACTACAAAGTCTCGCGAACAAAAGAGATAAACACGAAACAATTTGGCGACCAATAATAAATCGTCAATATCTTTCACATGAGTAAAAGAGGAGCACAACCTCGAAACGAACAAACGCAGCAAGGTGCTGCCGCGGTCTGAGAGGACATAAGAAGAACAACCCCAAAATAAACAAAAGGAGCACAAAGTTGGGATATTCACATCTGATATGTAAGCATCTACTTAAAAGGAACTGCACCACGTGGCTCGGATATTTACATCGGTATCTAAGCTTCTCCTTCACGTAAGTGTCCGCTGCTACCCTCTAGCTGATGTTGCGCGGCAAGCAATGAGAACAACCCCAAAACAAACAAAGGAAGCACAACGTTGTCGAAAGTCCTACGAATAAAGATGACAGGTTTCACGAAATGAAGAACCCTTAAAAAATTGATACAGCACGAGGTTGGGATGTATATAACCAAAACGTCCAATGCAATCCGGCACCTCATGAAAACAACAACACAGCTCGAACTGGCTGACTGCTAGATCAAGTGGGAATAGATTCGCACTTCTGCTTATGGCATTTCGAAAAAAAAACTACGCGTATTTTTACAACAGTGGTATCATTTAGCGCCTTGGAGTATGTCCACCGCAATCCTTAGTCGGATGTTTGGAATGTCGCTTTGGGCTATCGGAAATGGTGGCGGACAGCCGCGTGCAAGAAATGAAGCGAAGGCGAGCATGAAAACACCGCAGCTCGACCCGTCCGATTGTTGAGGGACACTACAAACAACCACCTTGGACTCCTGGAGATCCACTTTCGTTTTTGGACCATAATGACAAACTACTTCGTCACGGAGGTATTGCGTGAAGTTCGCAATCACATCGGAAGAAAAACCGTCATCGTCTTGTACGAAGGAGTCGTAGTACTCCAACCGTTGTTCTCGGAGACACAATAGGGTCCAATGCACTCCATGTTTATGGACAGGAATCAAGACCATCTCGTGTGAGAAAATATCCACATCTTTTGTCCATCTCGCAAACCTATTATGTCGATAGCCGCCACGGACAAGCTTGGTATAGAAAAATGGACTGAAAATGTAAAGAGAGGGACACCCATGCAACGCAGCGTTGGCAAGCAAGGCCAAGTACGACTCCACCACCTTATCGGAAAACCATTCCCCCTGAACAAGAGTTTGAAGACTTTTTCTACTCAACGGAATTGAACTGACCCCTTTCCAAACCGAGCACACCACCTCGTGGCCGTTGCTGTTATCTCCACAGACGTTCCGCAACATTCTCAAGTCCGTAGCGCTAAGCTCCTTAGTAGGCAACGAAACGCGAAAACATGATGTGGCCCCAGCTGCACAAACACCCACGATCAACTGTGAGGAGTAAGCACAAACCCCGTGGTGGAATGGCTAAGAACTGTCTGCCCTTTTCCCAGAAAAGTTGTATCCCCGCTTGTTGAATGTGTCCTTCGCGATGTACTTAGGACACGGGTCTTTCAAGACACCGCGTTTGCCATCATCATCAGACCCGTCATACAAAGCAGTAACGCTCTCAATAGACGCAGCCAAATGTTTCCGCAGATCTTCCTCCTTATCTATTCCACAAGCCTTGAGAACCTTGACAGCTCTTTGAAAAAGGCGAGGCATCTGGACCCTTTTAAACAACCCTACACTTGACGACTTCTTCGGTGAAGCGGCCAATGACCTCCCTGAAAGACGTTTCTCGCGCACGGCTTTTAAAGGCTTCATGGGCAGGGAAATTAACAACCTCACACCTGTAGAACATAGAAAACAACCCACAGCCTACAAGTTTTTTTTTAACTAGTGGTAACAGGTACATCAGCCCATGACATCAATTTGGACGAACATAGAGCTGGCCAGTGACAGATATGCGAGTGGTCCTATTCACAAATCTTACCGTGCTCGGGAGCCCTTTGAGGGAACTCGCCCTCCTGTCGCGCCACTGCGCCAACGTCCACAGACGATTCGAGGTTCTGGGCCTCGGCCACGGCTGTGTCGCTAACCAGATCAGTGGCAGTTGAGTCGCTTGGCAAGTCGATGGCCTCATGAAGCACCATTTCCCGACCGGTACTGAGGACAGATGCTCGATCACCCTGTTCGGCACTGCAACGGGTGGACGGAGAATCATGATCTTTCCGCTCTGGATCCATCTTCATGCTGACGGCAACCTCACCGCCTTCCACGGAGGATTCGACGTTCTGCATCTCGGTCACGCCTGAGTCGCTAACCAGCTCGGTGGCTGCCGAGTCGTCACCCAACTCTGTGGCTTCATGAAGCACAATTCCCTGAGCGGTGCTCAGGACAGACGCTTGACCACCCTGTTCTTCACCGCAACGAGTGGGCGAAGAATCACCATCTTTTCGCTGTGGATCCGTCCGGATGTCGACATTCACCTCACGGCCTTCCACCACAGGTTCTCCACCTTTCTCATCGCCATGAACCCGAGCTTCCACCGCGGGTTCTTCTTCGTCTTCATCGTCGCCAAGAACGGGCGATTGCACAGACGTCCACTTACCTCCCTTAACGACACCCTCTCGCATCGTGGCCACAGTCGAGCAACTGTGCAGAACCTCTTCAGACGTCCCGATCACCAGCGCTCGTGTGTGGAGCCACTTCAAGTCTTAACGAGCCGGCCGGTGTCGAGTCTCCTCTCCCCGTTGTACAACATGCGTTTCCCCCGGAGCTCCTCCACTCTCGCTGTCAGTGTCCACTGACGCACCCTCTGAAGCATGACGTTCACACTCGCTACCCCCGGTCTCCAACACTTTGTGAGACTACCAGCGTTGAGTCTCCTCTTCCCGATGTACAGAACTCGTTCCCGGAGAGCGCTCGCTCCCCAGGAGTGTGACGTTCGTTCTTGCTACCCCCGGTCTCCAACACTCCTAGAGCGGGCCCCTCCAGCATGTCGTGGGACCGCCAGTCTCGAGTCTCAACACATGAGAAAGGAGGCGAGCAAGGTAACCCTGTGTCCAACTGAAGATGCGGAGGCTAGGACGTCACATTTTCTTGGCCCCGCGGAACTGTTGCGTGAGGAGCACTTATGGCGTAGGGCGACGGCAGCAAATCCGAATGTATTCGGAGTTTGTGGCGGTCGCCCGAGCCGAGGGAACCGGAGGTCGCACCTTCGCTCCTTCGCAATGCAGGCATCCCGCCCTCCAGGCAAAACGAAGACGCGCCCTCTTTCAGGAGCAAGGTGCTGAGCACAGGAGACCTCTGCTGCGCACGGCGGGATGGACTCTCCTGGCCAAGGGGAAACAAACTCCTCGCAGACAAGTGCGAATCTACTCGCACTTGATCAAACGTCCGCGTGGCCTCGTCTCGCATGTCGGAATCTCGACTCCCTACGCAGTGGGGGTCAGCTTCCATATATTGGGGACTCCCGGACGTTCTACGCTTTCCGCCCGACCCCTTCCCGCCCGACCCCTTCCCGCCTGACCCCTTTCCGTCCGACCGCTTTCCGCCGGACGCCTTCTCAACCGACGATGTTTCGCCCGTCCCCTTTCCGGCAAACTGTGAGCCGTCTCCTCCGCCACCTCCGCCGTCTCCTTCGTCTCCTCCACCACCCCCTCCCGGATGATGACCGACCGGCGGAGGTTGCGGCATGCGCCAGTCAATGCCACGAGACGGTGCCGTTTCGAGTGCGTAGAAAGGCGCTCGAAACTCCAACATGTTGTTGGCGTACAACTCATGAAGCTTTTGTTCTGCATACGCATCGACATCTTGATCGTTCCTCTCGGGGTTCATGAGACTCAAATGCTCCACCAGAGCAGTTATTGCCTTTCTCTTAAATGCACCCGCTCCCTGTCTCTTCAATCCACTCCACTTGCCATCGGCCTCCTTTATTGCCATGACCCATATTCCATTCCTCACAGCAGGTTGGAATATCCTCGGGTGCCAGACGACGTTGTGTCCCCAGACATCCTCCAACGTGAACCGGTGATGCTTGCCGAAGAAGTAGAGTCTGTCATTTTGCCAGGTGTCATGGTCCACAGGGAGCCTGTCACAAGGTTCGTGATCATAGTCTCTCTCGTCCTCCCCATCATCAAACAATTGGTCGTCGACTGGTTCGCCCCGAAACACACGCTTCAAACCGGCAGGGGACGTGCTATATCTCCGAGGGCCACCTTCCTCTTTATCACCAACCTTTCCAACCACCCGAGGAAGTGGCATGGACTCGAAATCAAAGGTTTCAGGGTCGCTCAGCTCCTCCATGTCGTCAGCGTCGAAAGGGTCCTCGTCGTCGAACTGTGACTTGTAGTTTTCGAGAGTGAGAGGTTCGGCCAGCGTGAAGTAAACGTGCTCCAGCCTTCTCAGGAAGTGCGAGACAGACTCCCTGGGTGGACCGGTGTACTCATTGAGCACAGTGAACACCAGGTTTCTCTGTCGACTGTATTCGAGGTCGGTCGGACCAGGCGGTCCGGGTCCGAAAAGGAAGTCCTAAACGTCCGTCCTTTTGTTCCCCGACAATTTCCAATACATGTCACGTTTGGGATCCCAGTTTCGTTCGCTGGTGGTGCGGGCAAACTCGCAAGCATTGCGAGTGTCTGCAACGCGTGCCTTCACGAACCCGTGAAGGTAATCGATCATCTTCGCCTCCTTCTCCAACGCGACGACGTTCCGACCGGTACGCATGCGCCTTCCCAAAGAAGAAAACAGTTTGACCAACTTTGCAAAAGTTAACGAGTAGACCAAGTAGACGGGACGGGTTCCGCCCCATCTCCCCGTGAGCAGGTCCTTGAGAACTTGTCACGCCGCTGTCCTCCCACATGCTACGAGAGAACCTTTCCTCTTCCGCCACGTCGAAACACGCCACAACCTGTCCTGATGGGCCCGCCACTGTGTGTTTGGCCGGACTTGGACCATGAGCTCGGGAAGCCTTTGTCGGGCTACTGGCCGGGTAGACTGCGAATGTGTTGTCTTCCAGCTTCTCGGCATTAAAAATCACGTACAGGCGGTCACACTCCTCAACCAGCATATTGCCTTCCCGGACAGTGGCCTGCTTTTGTGCATTACATACCCACTTCCTTGTCCTGACGTGATGGACGCTAAGCCTGACCATGCCTTTCAAGAAACTGAGCTCCCAACAAGAGGGGAAAAAGATCAGAAATACCCAGTGCGTTGGCGAAAGTGTTTGTAGAGGGCCTTGCAAGTTGGCGAAATCGTCTTCTCGCCAGTTTGTGAGGAGTATGGGATCACACAAATCGAGGACGTACAGGTTGCACACGTAATGTCGCACAACCTCATGGATCGCAGTGACATGACTGTGAGCTTGGGAAGGCGGGAAAGCGAAAGGAATAAGGCTGGTCACCCGGTTGAGGTCGGGCCATTTGATGTGCCTCACATCCCCGCTGACCCTGATCGTGTCTCGAACTTCTTCTTCCTTCCGTCGCAAGATGGAACGGACAGACTTTTCGAAAGATTTAGGGAACCTGTCATCATCGTACAATTTCTTTGCGTCGTCGAGGGACTCCTTCTCGTGCGGAAGAGTACGTTTGCAAGTGTTCACGTACTCCACCGCGCCCTGGAAATGCTTTCGCATTTCGACCCACACCTGTTTCGTGAGGCCCTGCAGCCCGTACTCCTTCAGAAGCTTCCCCTCGGTCCGAAAAAAAAGGCTCCCGTGGCACCAAACACATTTGTCCTCCTTTGTTTCAAGGAACAAGATGTAGTGGAACATACGGAGCATCACACAGTCCACTTTCCTCGTCGCGACCATGTCTTTAATTCCTGGTTTGTGCCGACGCTTCAGATGGCCACCCGCGGACTGCACGAACACTCCCCTTAGCGCGAGAATGTCGTCAAGGATCGACAGTTTCTCGGCATCGGTCATGTCAGCAAGACACTGCCAACAGAACATGTCTGGCTCCTTCACAACTACGAAAAACTTGTTGTCCACTTGCGTTTTCTTTTTGGTCGGAGGCGGCGGGACCCGTACCAGCCACCTTATCTTTGTTTCACCAGCCGCCCCTTTCGAGCCAGTTTTCGGAATTGCTTGCAGACCCGGAGATTTGTCTGACATGTATTTGCCCGGCCTCGACAATGGCGTCTTGCCGTCGCAGCCCAACAACTTCCCCTCCGCCCATTTTGCGTAGAATTTCATGGTTTTGCGGAAAACGTCGTCACCGGCCGTCACGAGTGGCATCCACTGCCTCAATGCATTGCAAACTGCAGAGACATACTCCTTGTCGGCGAGCGACGAATCTTTTTGTGCCAACGTCCAGTGAGCTCCGTTTGGACTCTTTCCCAAAATCAGCTTTTGGAAATCAAAGAACTTTTGTTTTTCGGCCTCCTTGCTCGAAGGGTTCCCTTGAATTGCCACCGGCCTTCCTTCATTCTCCCATGCCTCCCATATGTCCAAGAACGCGGCCTTCTGCAATCGCTGCTTAGACATCTTGTGTCTCGTGTTCTCGTTGAGACTGACCTGCCTATACCCCGCGAAATCTCGGTCGGAGAACCACACTACTCTCGCCGGCCATGAGTGCATCTTCCACAAATTGAATATTGGCTCACCCTCCAAATCCTTCACAGCAGTCACGGTATGTTGTCCGTTAACAGGGTAACTGTAGTACTTGTCCTTGTCCTCTGGCTTGAAGACATCTTTGTGAGCCGTGTCAGCTTTCTCCGGCCTACGCGACACCGGCTTGTAGATGGGTGCCAAAACCGGAGGGTTTTTCGTCCAGATCTTTTTCTCGCGGAATTGACTCGACATCGTACCCTTGATGTTGTCCACAGTTTCGCGACTTAGACTGCGGTGGTTGTAATATCTTTCCCAAGCCGGGATCTCGCAGACCTTCCTGAGGTCGATGAGCAGTTGGACACCATTGCTCTCCACCGTTGCGCCATCGTTGCGCCATCGCTCTCCACCGGTGCGCCATCGCTGCGCAATCGCTATCGCTGTTCCATCGCTGCCATCGCTATCGCTATCGCTGATTTGTAACGCGTTCCATCGCTGCGCCATCGCTCTCCACCGCAGCGCTGGCCATCGCTATCGAAGCCCTGACCAGTGTTATCCTACCGCAGCGCTGCGTGATTTCTCTCTCCATCGCCGCACGACCTCCATCCATCGCTGAGTGATCACTCTCCATCTCACTCCATCACTGTGCGATCTCTCTCGACAACCGGGCAACCTCCATCCTTGCCCCAGAGGCTCTCCATTACTCGTGCGCAATCCCGCCATCGGCATTGTATTGTTGTTTCAGGGCGTCGTCAGTGCTGCCGCCCATCACTGTGGAATCGCACGAAACAGGTGACAGGTGTGCTTAACGAAGGTTTAACTCGATGGAACTGATGTTGTGCAATAACAAATCTTCGTCATCGCTGTGCCTTCTCTCTCCATCGCTGCGGCATCGCTAACCATTGTTGCTCGTCCTCTCTCCATCTCTCTCCACCGATACGTGATCTCCACTGACCTTTCGTCATCTATCCCCATCGCTGAGGTATCTTTCCTCATCTATCTCTTTCGTTATCCATCTCCTTCGGTGCATTATCTTCCCTAATCTATCTTCTTCGTCATTTATCTCCATCGCTGAGCTATCTTTCCTAATCTATCTCCATCGTCATCTATCTGCTTCGGTGCACCATTTTTCTCCATTGTTGTGCTATCGCTAACCATTGCTGCGCCTGCTATCTCCATTGCTGCGCCATGTTTCTCCATCAGTGCGCATTCTCTCTCTCTCGCTGCGGCACACCTCCCAATCAGTTCGCGATCTCTTTCCCTTCCTGCGCCATCCACCTTCTTCCCCAGAATATACAACGCACTTTCATTACAGTTGTCTTTAGACTGAAAGATGACCCAAATTCAGTTGTAATGACCGGACGTTGTATTCGGGGAAAGACTGTGACTCCATTCATCTCTCTTGGTGCGCCATCTCTCTCATTCGGTGCGCCATCTCTCTCCATGTATTTTCATCGATGCGTCGTCTGCCCATCGCTTCGCAATCTTTCTCCATCTTAAAAAATAGCATGCCATCTTTCCCTATTTCTCTCTTGCGACGATCTGTGGCTCGTACTACACGCAGAACAAGCCGGAAACAGCTTGTACTTGTACCCACAGTTTCGTAATAGAAATGCTCGTTTACAAGTGCGAATTCATTCGCTCTTGAACCAACCAACCCCTTAATTTGTCACTGTTTAGTCCATAGGTCAGAATTAACTCGCACTTGTACCCGCAGTTTCGTAATGAAAATGCCCGTTTGCAAGTGCGAATTTATTCGCTCTTCAATCAACCATCCCCCTAAATTTCTTACTCCACAGTCCAAAAGTCCCAGTTTCATAGTGGAAATGTTCATCTGCAAGTGCGAATTTATTCGCTCTTCAACCAACCATCCCCCCAAATTTTTTGACTCTTTAGTCCACAAGCCCTAGTTTCATAATGAAAATGCTCGTTTGCAAGTGCGAATTTATTCGCTCTTCAACCATCCATTCCCCTAAATTTGTTCCTCTTTAGTTGATAATTCGCGTCTCTTCTCGGCCCAAAAGAATGAAGTCGTTTTGTATTTGCAAGTTAACTCGGCACTGAACCAACCACGAAGGCAATTTCTTATTGCACGGCGTAATCGAAATGTTCCTCTGAAGTGTGAATTTTTTGGCACTTGAAAATTCTCACTGTTTAGTGGATAATACCGAATCGACTCGCATTTGTGTTCGGTCTTGTTCCGACCATGAACTTAATTTCTTACTGTACATTGAAAAAGTCCGAATCACCTTGCATTTGTACTCTCGCTTGAAAAAGTGTGAGTTTACTTGGACATATCCAAACCACTTGCACACTGAACGAGTGGGTGAGGAGTCGGACTTGAGATACCACTTGAGCCTCACATCAGGGTCCGACAAAACGATATGGATTCAAATGTTGTTGTTCCACTGTTTTGTGATAAATATTTGGATTGTGAGTTTGCTCCCTCTTGTTTATTTCTCTGACCTCGTCATACGTTGACGTGATTTTCTTGTTGTACAGTTTCCGTATGAATCGTCTCTTTAAATGGCTGTACAATCCGTCCACTGTGTGTCGCCACCGCCACCGTCATGACAACACGGAGAAGACGATGTTCGAGAACGTAGTTCTTGTGACAACAGCCCGGAAGCTCCCTCTGATCGGCATTGCGGTTTGAAAAGGGATTTCTCAATGTTGACCCCGACGAATCATTCAGGCTCGTCTACGACGTCCGCCCAGCGTCGTTTTGTTCGCTTTACCGACGTTCTCGACGGTCAACGCGTATCTACAGCGCTAATCCCCGGTAGTGAGGGTGTTCGGGATGTCGAGACGTTTCTCGATGGGTGGATATTCATGGACATAGATTTCTGTGGTGTGTCTGAAACGACTGGATCAGATCTCGTGCAGACAGCGGGTAGGCTGTCAGAAAGCATTGAAGTTACCCAACCCCTAGCATTTGACTACAGTCGGTCGTTGGTGGACACAGACTTCTGCGGTACACCCAATAGAAACGGATCTGATCGGGAACAGTCCGGTGTATTTGGTAGAAACGGGTATGATATGGACCAAGCAACGGTACGTGCGTGTGGAAGTGCGAAGATAGGTAAGAGAATTGCATGTGAAGCCGGAATAGTTGGCTCTCCGTCGATAACAGCGACGGGTGCAATGGAAAATTGGCAGACTGGTTTTGTAGACACAGATTTCTACAGTTCATCGGAATCCTCCCAATCTGATTTGCCGAGAACCGCTCCCACGGACAGATCGAAATTCCTAGGTGCAGCGCATGGGTCCCCGACCACAAGCCAACCTGGAACTCCCGAAGCAGTCCTTCAAGTTTTGTCCCATCCCCTACCTGGAGAAAGGAGAAGATATAATCGGAAAAATAGGCCGGTTAGAAGGTCAGAGCATTCGAAGAGGGCCAAAAGTCGATTGAATGAAACTAACATTGCGCTCGTCCCGACGTACAAATGTTGTAAGAACAAGTGTCTTCGAGTCTTGACCATTGACGATATCAAACCGGTGCGCGAAGCCTATTACGAAATGTCCCTCGAAAGGAGGATCGAGTGGTGGATGAAAACCCTCCACAATTTCACTATCCTCGACGACGGTCTGGAAAGAGTCAAACCAGTGCAGTGCAAACGCCGTGTGTGCATCACCGGATGGTGCAAAATAATAGGGATATGTCGAAACACATTTCGTCGTTATAGCAAGTGCAAGTCGGACGGGGTCGTCCGTGGCCGTCATGGTCGATGGGGATTGTTGAACCCGAGACCGGAGTATGTGAGCATGCTAGCTCGTGTGACAAGGTTCATGGAAGAACATGGAGATGCTATGCCTAACGAAATGGTTGTGAGGGGGACCTCACAACGGCCCAAATTTAGGCTCCCTACTTATTTCACGAAGCTTCTTGTATACGAGTCTATCAAGGCGGACTTGGAAGCGACGGGTCAGACCGTCGTTTCAGAGCAAGTCTTCTACTCCATATGGAGGAAGTACTTGTGGCATGCCGACCTTGCCAAGTCCAACTCGTTCACAAAGTGTGGCGAGTGCGTCCGCCTTAGACAGGCTAGAGACAACGCCTTCCTCCTTCGTGACCGTAGGGATTTCGATGAAAAGCACCGCAAACAACAACTAGATCAGGTCGCTCACCGTGCGGATTACGCTGTTGAACCCGAGACCGGAGTATGTGAGCATGCTGGCTCGTGTGACAAGGTTCGTGGAAGAACATGGATATGCTATGCCTAACGAAATGGTTGTGAGGGGGACCTCACAACGACCCAAAGTTAGGCTCCCTGCTTATTTCACGAAGCTCCTTGTATACGAGTCTATCAAGGTGGACTTGGAAGCGGCGGGTCAGACCGTCATTTCGGAGCAAGTCTTCTACTCCATATGGAGGAAGTACTTGTGGCATGCCGACCTTGCCAAGTCCAACTCGTTCACAAAGTGTGGCAAGTGCGTCCGCCTTAGACAGGCCAGAGACAACGCCTCCCTCCTTAGACAGGCCAGAGACAACGCCTCCCTCCTTCGTGACTGTAGGGATTTCGATGAAAAGCACCGCAAACAACAACTAGATTAGGTCGCTCACCGTGCGGATTACGTTGACTGAAAACTTCGTTCCATTTTGAACCCCGCAGAATACCTCTGCCTTATAGTGGATGAAATGGATCAGAAAAAGACAACCATTCCTCACATCGGCATGTATAATTACTCCAAGGATCATCGACACGACATGATGATGAAAACGAACCTGACCGCGGTCGTAGCTCGTGGCAGAAAACCGTCCATTTATGTGTACACGTATTTGCCTTTCTATGCGCACGGTTTCGATGGCACCATGACGTGCGTTATGCGGACTCTATGTGAGTTGCAGGCGTCGGGACAGAAATTGCCACGACACCTCCGCATCCAGGCGGACAATTGCTGGAGGGAAAACAAAAACCAATACCTTCTGTGTTTGGCCTCTCTTCTGGTAAAATTCGGGATTTTCGAAGATGTCGAAGTGGGGTTCATGCTCGTTGGCCACACGCATACCGACATAGACGCGACTTTTAGTGTTTTCTCAAAAAAACTGAAGGACAACGATGCTTACACCATGAAGCAGCTGTTCGCGCTTATCGAGTCGTCGCACAAGATACCGCCGAAGTGCATTGAGCTCGATTACATTGCCGATTGACGCCGGGTAGTGGATCGATACGTCGATAGAACCATCGTCGGTATCGAAACCGCACCTCTTCAAATTCTTCATGCGTAACGACAGTCCCGTCATGGTGTACAAGAAGTACTGTACCGATGCGGAATGGATGCCGGAAGGCAGACCAGTTCACTGGTTCCCGGTTGTCGATGGCCAGTATGCAGGCCCTGCCTCCCCTCCACAGCCATGTGTTATTCCCCGTGTCGTTAAAGACAATTTTCGGATGGCTCGTGACAGTGTCCAAAAATTTGTGGACGTCCTCGAACAGCATAGACACATGTGGCAGACATATAGGAAGGAGGAGGTCGACAAGAGGGAGGATGCTTTGTCTTACTGGAAAGCCATCTTCGTCGAGGCGGA